CTTCCTTGGCATGTTGATTTGTCAAATTTTACACTAATAAATGAAAAATAACTAACAATAGATTAGACCAGCACCACATTATTAATATCACAAGTTTTAAACATGAATAAAACATTATGGATAGTCAAAAACAAATTTTTTTTGCAAAAAATGAAAACTTATACCCTTGAGAGAAAATTTTTGCTTTTATTTCTTAAACTAGAGCTAATATGTCATTTTTAAATTCAGCAAGTGGATACACATTAGAAATAACTAATTTTAGTTCCGAAACAAAATCACTTTTGGGCGGTGTAATTACAATACTTAAAAATAATTTTTTACACTTCTGACCATTTCATTGGATTTGCCACCCCTTAAAAATAGCCAGGTACATTTTCTTATGTAAAAAGAATAAACATTTTTAAAGTTATACAACTTGAAGCCTCTAAATAAACATTGCAATTCTGAAGGGACAAGAGGGGCCTGGTCCTCATTTGTTAAAGGTAAAATGGTCATAGTTCAGGATCTTCTTAGAGCTAGAGGCAAAAATTTTCAAGAAGTTCTTATTTTACTAAGTACTCCTAACTGTGTAAAATCTCAGATCTGCTAGTTGCTCTGTTGTGCATGAAAATACCAAACTTTCTAATTTGAAGCCACTTAGAGACATTTTTTAAAAGTTACAAATAGTTCAAAGAATTCACAGTATCATTTTGTCATTAAATGTATAAACCAGCACAATGATTGACAGTAAATGCATTCTAAATTATAACTGATGGGCATTGCTGAAGAGAAAGTGCAATTTTTTGGGATTAAAATGTGAGTTTAATGGCCAGCGAACATTGGTTTTGTGTGTTGCAAACTGTTCAACTTTTATACAGCATATTATAATCAAAGAATTTTAATATATATAAGATATAAGTTCCTGGTAATCTTCAAACTGTGCTGGCACTTCAAACTTTAATATAAGATATATATAAGTTCCTGGTAATCTTCAAACTGTGCTGGCATTTAAATTAGTTAAGAAAAAATTTGAAATTTGTCCTTCACATTCAAACGGCATATCGTGCCGTTTGTTTTTGGAGTAGTAGTTAAAACATTCTTTGCAGCATTGAGGCAATAAGAGACAATATTCGGGCGTTTTTTTATGACATCTCGCTTTCATTATGGCTTTTCTCTGATCTGCTTTTGAGGTTGGGTTCTCTTTAGAGACTTCTTCTTTTAATTTTTTCCAACAGTTTTTAATGAGGTCTAAATTGTTTAAATTGTGCTCAGCCTCAGAGCAAGAACATCAATTGTATTTTGCCATATCTTGAAAATATTTTCCTGATTGCAATTTGCCCTGCCGTGCATGAAAATATTAAACTTTTTAATTCAAGTCAATTAGTCACATTGTTCTATAAAATTTCTAAATAATTTGTGAAATTGCCAGTTAAAATAATTTGTGGAATTGCCAGGAAAACCAGCACCATTGTTGGCAGTGATCTTGTCCCAAATCATAATTACTCAACAGAATTAGACATAGCTCAACAGATAGTGCATTTAACTAGGAAACAGTTAAGTAAGAATTTGTGACCTTGAAATTAATATGTCCTTCACAACAAATTCACATATCATGTTGTCAGTTTTTGTTGTAATAAGTCTTGGTCTTCCACAGAATTTTCCTGGATTTATACTATCTGTTAACTTAATTTGCTGAATGATATCTTAAACAATTGTCTTCCATTAAAAGTTGTAATTGTCCTTGTTCAGCAAGTTATGTTGTAGCCATAAGATAATAATTAAATTATAATTTTATTGTATATTTTTTAATTATTTCCCTTTTAGACAAGCTGCGTTTTTGCAGCTTGTCTAAAAGGGAAAGTACATCATTGGAAGACCCACCCCAGATATGGCAACAGTGTTCCATACAAGGGTGGGTTTTAGATTTATATAGATAAAGAATAGAATCCTAAGTAAGAAGGTGGCAAGCACGATAAAGAGATGCAACCTTAGCAGATGCTTATTTTGCAATGGGTTTGATACATGGTTTTCAAGAAAGATTGGAAGTAAGATTTAATCCTATAACATGAAGGGTAGATTAACATTCTTGTCTTACGTTTTATTACCAATTTTTTTTTTCCTTGTTTTTTTTTCCAAAACTTTTTTCTAATATAAGTTAACTTTGTAACTCATTTTCCTGACAACCCTAATCATTTACCTTCACTCCTTGATTTTTGTCAAGGAGTGAAGGTAAATGTTGCTGTTAACAAAGTGAAACAAAATGTTGCTGTTAACAAAGGAAGGTCTAACATTCCATCTCTCATTCATGGGACTGATCTTATTACCTCTCCCAAGTATAAGGCTGAACTATTTGCAAAGAACTTCTCTTCTAATTCAACTTTCAAATCTTATAGCCATTCTCTTCCTTCCATTCCAATAAACAGGTTAACCCATTGTTAGACATTCAAATCACTTCTGTTGCTTAAGTCTCGATTAAACTCTTTTACAGCTCCTGGTCCAGACAACATTCCTGTCACAGTTTTACAAAATTGTAAAATCTCCATAAGCTTGTCTTCTCTTTTTGATCACTTAGATCAGGCAGTGGATCTTGAATCTGATCTCACTTCTGTAACAGATTGGGGCTCACAGTAGCTTGTAAATTTTAACTACAACAAAATTCAGTTATTTACTGCAAACAACTATTGCAGTACTGTTGACATTCCTATATTGATGAATGGTAACCCTTGCACTGAGTCCTTTTCTTTACATCTTGGATCATCATTTACTACTGACCTTTCATGGACACCATATATACAATCGATTGCTAAATTAGCATCTGCTAAGAGTGCTTCTCTTTATCATACTCGCCATTTTCTTTCTCCTGATTCTCTACAAATCTCTTATTGTCCCTGTATAGAATACTGTTGTCATATTTGGGCTGGTTCTTCTAATGATGCTCTTTCTCTTCTAGACAAGGTTTAAAAATTGCATTGTAAAGGTAGTCTATCTGCTAAACTCTTTCTCTTTTCTACAAATGCTATCATGGCTGCTGCTCAAAGGAGCTTTCATCTCAAGTTCTATTAACTAAATCTCATTCTCGCTTGACTCGTTGTTCATCAAAGTCTCATTCTTATACTGTATCTGTCCCTGCATGCTCCAAAAACTTTTATTTGTCTAGCTATTTTCCTCGCACTTCAATCCTTTGGAACTCTCTCCCAACTGCATGTTTTCCTGGCTCATACAACCTTCAACTCTCTAAGTCTTCTGTCAACCATATACTTGCTTTATAACTCTATTCTTTTTTTCAAGTAACTCCCAACTTAATAGTGGTTGCTTGCAGCCTTTTTTTCAAGTAACTCTCAACTTAATAGTGATTGCTTGCAGCCTTTTTTTCAAGTAACTCCCAACTTAATAGTGGTTGCTTGCAGCCTTTTTTTCAAGTAACTCTCAACTTAATAGTGATTGCTTGCAGCCTTTTTTTCAAGTAACTCCCAACTTAATAGTGGTTGCTTGCAGCCTTGTTGAGAGTGAATCAGAATAAAATAAAAAAATTTAAAAAGAAGAGTGCACAAAATCATAAATTCACTTATTGAGCAAAATTTATAATTTTTTGCTTTTCTAGTTAATTAAAATGCAGTCATTCTGGATCTGTTGGTAAAAATTTTTGAATACGTAGTTTTATATATAAAGGAACCCATAAAAAAAGTTTTTTATGGAGCTCATAAAAATTTTTTATGGGCTCTTTTTGGTTTATTATTAAAAAGTTAATTAATTTTGGCTTAAATTTAATCAATGACATTTTTTGGTGTGTTACTGATGGTGCATCAGTTTTGAAATAAATGGTATCATAAATGGGTGTCACCCAATAACTTAGCTATTGCCATGGAATTAATCTTGTGGTATGTGATATTTTTTACAAGAAGAAAGGTCCAGCAAGAGCAAAAACTGGAGAAAAATTGTTTAATGAATAGGCAAATAAAATTGAAGAATCTAGTTCTGATCCTGATGATAGTAATGACAATAAAGAATTTTGGAATGAGGAAAGTATAAGCTCTGTTGATGAGGAAATATAATTTAATTAGGACTATGGTTTTATTATATCAAAGGTCCATAAAATTGTCAAGCTTTTTTGAAAATCACTACTCAAAAATGATACCCTTGAAAACATTTGTAGATCAGGTTTAGGAAAAGAGCTTAGTCCTATTCTGGATACTAAAACAAGATGGAATTCTCTAATCTCAGTATATTAAAATGGTTCTTAGAATTTAAAAATATTGGGAAATCTTTTGTGGAAATATCCAGAACATATTTGATTTTGTCAGAAGAAATAAAACACATTTCTGATCTTGTTCTTCATGTTGTAAAGTGTTATAGTACAGATAAAAGAATACTGTGATCTGATAAAATTATTTTGTTTATAAAATCTTAGAACAAAATACTAACATGGTCAAAATATTTACTGTTGTGTGAGAGAATTACTGAAAGGAAAATGTTAATGCTGGTTTACTATTTACATAACCTTGATGATTTAAATCAGGTTCAGAGTTACCAGAGTAGGAGTTTTCCTACCAGTAATCATTTCAAATTCCAAATTAAAAATGAAATTGCTAAATCAGCTAAAGATGTTTTCATTTATTTATTCCTACATGAGGAATTAGAAGCAGCACTTAAGTCTGGTATTAATTTTAATTGTAATGCGGTACTAATTAAAAAAAAAAAATTAAAGCTAAAGAATTAGCAGAAATGCTATCGAATGTATATTCAACAAGCTCTTTTAATAAAAATTTACAATGCCATATTAAACCTTACACCATCTTCTATAGAAGCAGAAAAATGTTTTAATGCTGTTTTTAATCTTAAAAACAAATATTTAAATGATGCATCTCTTTTCTATGTAAACAAACCATTTTTAATGTGGTTATTTTGTTATGAATGTTTTAGTTTTTGTTATATTTAATTTTTTTTTTTTTAAATATAGACTCATTTTACAGGTCATCGAATGCTAGTATCTTACTTAATAAAATTTTATTTTTGATTTTAAGCTATATTTGAAGCATTTGATGAATCTTGTTCATTCAGTGGAGAAAATAGAAAAAATTTTAGCTGCAGACTTAAAATCGCCAGATGCTGAAATACTTTTTAATCAAGAAAGGTCTGTATTATTTGTAATGATTTGTAATAATTATAAAATTCTGTTGAGTATATTGTTATTAATTATAAGCATAATGTTAATAACTTTTTGTATAGATTATTTAATTAGAAACACCTCGATGAGCAAATTGTTTACAAAGATTTTCAGAATATTTTTAAAAAATATTTTAAAAATAACTTTTTCTACTTTTGCAAAGAATTTATTTAGCATTTTAGCTTTTTATAGTTTTTCTCTCTTGCAAGAATATAGAAATCAATAAATTAAAAATTTATTATTATGTTTCACTTAAAGTTTGTCTAACTTAAAATAACTTGTTTTAAAGTTATTTTATAAACTAAGCAATAATCTTTACTTTATTGAGAAACCACATTTTATTGAGAAACCACATTTTATTGAGAAACCACATTTTAGCAATAAATTTTTTTTTGTTTGTAACTTGTAATCTTTTTAGAACTCAACCTGGACATTATTTAGAAAGAATTGCTGGTGAATACAATCAACTTCAATTTCATGTAAACCAAACTAAAGGACATCCAATTATTGAATTAATACGGCCTGTATGTAATTAGTTTTTCTAATTTATCTAATATGTTTTAAATATAATTTATTTATTCAAAATTTATTATTTAAATGTATTTTATGGTCTAGGTCAACTCCAGGATATTTTAAAACATTTACTCTACATTTTAAACTGTTATTTAAATAAATATTAAAAAAAAAATTAAAAAATTAAGAGATTAATGTGAGTTTTTCTATTTTTTTTCAAGAATATAAAAGTTAGATAAAAAATTATAGTTGTTGAATGATTCAAAAATAAAATAAATCTTCAATTAAAGTTGCATATTTGTTTACATATTAGCATATTTACAACATAGTGTGTTTTGGTTCATTTATTAACTTGGTGTGTTTATCACTCAGTTAGACAGTCTTTTCCTTGTCTTTTTATATATAAGTCTTTTCCTTTGTAAGTTGGTCTTGGTAACCATTGGCCAATGCCAATTATTTTGAAAAATCAGATTTTTTTATTTTTGTGTTTCTATATTGCATGCAAAAGTATAATTATTCCATAAACCAAAAAGCATGCACAAGCCCAAGTTATTATATAGACATATCTGCAACCACTAAACCTTTAAATATTTTTTGAACTGTTTTTATCAGGAGCTCTCTGCATTTAGTGTCTTTTTATAATTTAGGAAAGTAATTATATAACTTAAATTTCCAAACGATACAAAGTTTAAAATTAAAATGTAAAAATTTTTTTCTGCCAGATGTTCCTCTTCTTGATATTTTAATTTTGCAAAATTTACAAAATGCTTTCAATGTTTATTTTCATCTATATCAAAATAGTCTATAAAATTTTTAGTTGCTTTGTTCATTGTTGATTTATTTCTTATTTGATCTTATTTCTAAGTTTAATTCCTAGAATATAGTTAGAAGTATATATATATATATATATATATATATATATATATATATATATATATATATATATATATATATATATATATATATATATATATATATATATATATATATAAAAGGATAAAGATGGGAGAAAGTTCTAAAAGATTGAAGTGTGGGGGAAAAAAATTAATAGCTAATAAATTTTCTTTATTTAAATTATAGTTTTGTTTAAATTTAAAAAAATATATTTTAGAGAGTTTCCTTGATTACATCAAAGTTGCAAGAAGCTTTAGAAGATTCCTTTCAATTGGGAATAGAAAATAGACAAACAGATATTATTCGTAGAAGTTTACGAACTTATGCACTGATTGATAAGATATCCTATGCTGAAGATCTTTTCAGAAATATTCTTGTCAAACCTTTTATAATCAGTGTTATCAATGAAGATTATTTTAATGAACATGGCATTGAGACTATATGCAGTGATATTTTAAAATTTATAAAGCAAAATTGCAGTATTGTTCTAAATTTATCTGCTGGTGAACTTTATGACGCAGACCAGCAAGAACAGCATTCTATAAATAGTTTTGATTTCTTAGTAAACAGTATTTGGGTGGAAATTGAGAAAGCTTTTGAGGAAAATCTTCCACTGCTTTTTTCACCTGGCAACCCAGAAATTTTTATCAAGGTAAAGAGGAATTATTAAAGATCCAAAATTTATTTTTGTTTGTTTATTTAATATTGTTTTTGGATGTATTATTTATATTTTTTAATTGTTGCTATTTGTATGTCTTTACTCAAAGCGATATAGGGTGATGATGGGTTTCTTGGATGAATTAGAAAAATGTTGTGTGCCATCGAGTTTCTATAATCTACGAAATCATACTACATACCATTCGTTTATGAACAAGTGGAGTCTACCAGTTTATTTTCAAATTCGGTGAGTCTATTACTATAACATTAGGTTAAAGATAGTATTCAGTGCTTCAAGGTTCACACTTTCAAAGTTTAGGTTGTACAGCGCTTAACTAGAGAAGAAAAAAAAATTAGGTAAATTTTTTTCAAAAAATTTATATGAAAGAAAAGCAGGGAAAATAAAAAGCAAACAAAGAACCAAAAATCGAAACGAATTTAAGTTTTTAGTTATTAGTTTTAAATCAAATTTATGATAATTATTAGAATAGTTATTATTCAGTCATAATTATTAGAACAGTTATTATTTATAATTATTAGAATAGTAATTAATTTTAAAAGTTTCAAAAATAAATTGTCAAAGTATAAAAAATCTTGGTGAAATAAAATGAAAAAATGAAAAAATTAACATTATAAAAATAGCTTAACTAATTTTTAACATTACAATAGCTTCACTTCGCATAAATAAAAAAAATTATACCAATGACTGCCTTAAATTTTAGTGGCAACTTCATCACTAGACTTTTTACAATCTAACTGCATTGGTATCTGACCCGATTAGCAAAAACATAACTAATTTGTTAAAGTTCTTTTTCTGTTCTAGTCTATTGAAAGTTTGTTCCAATGTTGTTTCAATTAAAACACTAAGATGCCTTTAGGGCTTAATACCATATGCCTTGCTGACACAAAATCAGCATAGAACATTTAATAAATAGAAATCAGTTTCCAATTCTTGTTTATGCAACTTGAAATTCTGGCGAAAAAGATCCAATACTACCTATTATGACCTATAGAAGACAGAGTTAATATGGTTAATATATTGCATGTCTATAGTAGGCATGCAATATATTAACCATGCGCTAGGAAACCTGTTCCACTGTCTTTTATAATAATATTTGCTTGATTTTAATTTTTAAAAGACAATTATTATTTAGATATTATTAAGAGTTATTTATATAGCCGCTTATATAGTTATTATATAGTTATTTATATTTTATATTATATTAAAAAGTCATAACAGTCTTATCACAGAAAAATATTTAACCAGGAAGTTTATGCCTCCTTTCTTACAATTGATGCATATCTGGCCAGAGACAGCTTCGTAACACAGATCTTCGATTCTGAAGCCAAAACTTTACCCATTACACCACGGCTTTGTAGTTAAATCTTGTTGTTTTAAAATTGATAATTTTAAAACTACATCAAAATTTTGATGAAGCAAATTGATTTATGATGAAGCAAATTGATTTATGATGAAGCAAATTGATTTATGATGAAGCAAATTGATTTATGATGAAGCAAATTGATTTATGGTACTTTACATGCTATTGAAATTATTGAATATAAGCAAGTTGGATTTTCTATATAAAATTTACAATAAATGCTGAATTATTATGTATGTGTAACTAATAACATTTACAACTCATGATAAATTACGCAGGTCTACAAAAAATATATTGGATTAAATTTGGCACTTTCTCTTACATAGTATTGGTACGCTGGATTCATATCTGGCATCAGATTTTTATGGCAAGTTACAGATTTTTTGCAATACTTTTCTATTTTGCAAATTATTAGAAATAATTCTAAAAAAAAGATTTGAAACTCATTTTGAAATGCTAGGATATGTTTTCAAAAATTTAATTTGTTTACAAAGTTTAAACAAAAAGGATTAAAAAGAATATTTCTTCCTGGTTTTGCAGTAGTTAAAATAGTCTAGTTAATTGTTTTATACAAATTATCTTTTATTTTAATTTTAATAATGTTTTTGAAAAAATTATATACAACTAAAACAATAATAAAAAAACTAGGTTTAACTGAGTTTTACAAATGTTTTATTCTTAATACTTTTTTTAATAAAAACAATAATTTGGTTTAAAAAGTTTTATTTCTAAAAATAAAGAAGTCATTCTTTATTTTTAGAAATAAAATATAAAGTCATTTAATATGTTTTAATATATATATTATATGTATCATGGTAGTTTATTCCATTTAAAATGATATGTGGTGCTTTATTTTATTTTTTTAAAATGGCACAATGTGTATTGAATATCCTGTCAATATATAGAGCAGCCTTATGGGCTATATATGTATTATGGTACTATATGGGCTAGATATGTGTTATGGTAGTTTATTCAATTTAAAATAATGTGGGCCTTATGGGCTAGATATGTATTATGGTAGTTTATTCCATTTAAAATGATATGTGGTACTTTTTTTTTTTTTTAATGGCACAATGTGTATTAAATATCCTGTCAATATATAGAACAGCCTGCTAATGATGATGCTCATGTAAATAATTCAGTACAATATCTGATGTCCTTCTGCTTTTAACAATTTTCAGTTAGAACTCTTGTTTAAGAAAATGCTAAAGATGAAATTATTTTGAGAATTATGTATGATCTTATCAAATACCAGCAAAAACTAGAGGAAAAGTTTTTTCATTTAATTTACTTTCTACCCTTTCTTAATGTAGTAGGCTGGCATAAATGTAAATATTACAGTGTTTCTTACCTAAAATGATGAATGCTGGGTTTTCTTTTCTCATCATATATTTTAATGCTTGTGTCATAGCTTGAGTGCCTGTTCAATTTTTTGTCAACCTAATTTATTAACAGGGATATTGCGATTGCGTAACTTGTCATTAGGAGTGCCAAGTTTTATAAGTATGGCAATTCCAAGTTGAGTCACTTCTTTTCATGGTCTTTCTTTATTACACTGCTTCTATTTTTTTTTCCCCTCTTTTTAAACTATCTTCACCTCCAACAAACCACTATTAGAGTTTACTGAAAGAGAAAAGATGTAGTTTATAAAGCAAGATTACGATAAACAGATGACTTAAAAGGTTGCAAATTATATGAATCAGGAAAACAATATGAATGGGGCTAATTCCAAAGAATTGATGTTCGAGTGAAAAAACTAGACAAATAAAAAGTTTTGGAACTTAGGAACAGTCAGAATAAAAAGATGAGATTTAATTAAATGATGAGCAACACAAGAATGAATTTTTGTAGATTATACAAGAGACGCTTTGACTTTTTTAACTTCTCTTCTAACCAAAAATCCTTTGTTTGTTTTTGTACTGTTGTCATACATTGGCTAGATCTTCTAAAAATGCTTTTTTCTCTTATAGACAATTTGTCAAAACTTGTTGTAAACATAGCTAACTTAACTTAGTTTGTCTTTCAAAATAAGCTATAATCTCTTGTTCGTTGAAATAAAATGTAAACATAGTTGGCTGTGTTTATCATGTTTGCTACTCAAAACAGTTATATATATTTTTTTTTAACTTTTCATATAATTCCATTTAAAATGATGCACTTTATTACATTTAAAATGACACAATATATTGCATTATCTCATTTAAAATAATACACATGATGCCATCATTATTTATTCATAATGAAGTGCTTTTAAGCATTAAAAATTTTAAAGCATTAAAATGAATATTTTAAATAAATAGCTAAAGATTTCAAGTGTTCATTTTAGATTCTTGATTTTGCATCTTGTCATCATGGCACTCTCCTTCTTAGATTTTGGATTAATGATATAGCTTGGAAGAAAAGTTTCAAAAATAAAATATTGCGTTATACTAAAAGCAATTACAGGATGGAGAGTGTCATAATGGTAAGAAAGCTATTGGTTATTTTTACCTTTTTTTTTAAAACTCACTAACACTATATTAGCAACAAATAAAGATGCTAGTTTTTTTTCAGTCAATTTTTTTTTTTAGTTTTTGTTATTGACATTTTTTTTTTTAGTCATTGCTACATCCGTTTTTTCTTCTTGTTTGTGAAAAAGTTACAATAATTTAATATTGAATAATAAAAAGTTGTTCTATGCATGTTAAGTTTCAAAAAATTTAGAAAAAATATGCACTCGATTTTTATATTTGTAGTTGGTAAAATTTAATTATATTTCCATATTATTTCATATCAAACTTTTATATCTCATTATTAAAACAATATTTAAAATTAATTCAAGTATAATATTAATATAAAAACACAAAATCATTAGTTTCGAAGTTATTTTATATATAGTTTTTGTATAAGTTATTTTATATATTGTTATTTTTATTATGTGTAATATATGTGTATTTATTGTGTAACAGATTTCAAGAAATTGGTGGTCAAGTTGAAAGTGCAGTAGATAACCCGTATGATAAATCACCTGATGGTAACAAACTTTATTTAATTTTTAAAAAGAGTTCGAAGTGTTTCTAATTTTCATGTGTATTTTTATCTTTTGAAGATTGTTATAAGCTCTTTAAAGAAATAGAAAATAGAAAAAAGAAAGTTATTAAAAATTTCTGTAAATTGTTTTTATTTTTTATAAACTGTTTTTTCTTCATTTCACACACAAATCTTTCACCTTTTACATTAGATCACAAGATTTTTTTCTAACATCTTTTACAAAATGTTTATATATTTATTCCCATTTTTTATACTAATATTTGTTATAATTAGAAATATTTGAAACTAATATTTGTTATAATTACTTTTTTGTATGAATTTCTGATATGATGCATTTTTTAATATTTCTTGTGTGTTTGTTTTTAATATTTCTTGTGTGTTTCTATTTGCGTTACTATTTAGTACTAATTTTCTACCTGTGTCATGTTAAGTTATTTCAATATTTTTATTAAATAAAACAAATTTTATATTTTTATTTTTTTGATGATATGCTTTGATGATATAGCATGAATATATATATATATATATATATATATATATATATATATATATATATATATATATATATATATATATATATATATATATATATATTAGGGTGTCCTAAAAAACAACTTTTTTAAAAATAATCTGCTCTCATCCCCTAAATGTGTTCTATCTAATACAAAAACACTAAGTTTAAATTTTTTTTCAATAAAAAAATAATTTAAAGGGTCCCTCAAGACCCTCGAATATTTAATGGGTCCCTAATATTTTCAAAAAAATGTTTTTAAAAATTATGTCAACCTGGTACTCAAATGAACCGAAATTATATAAAAATTTCAAAAATAATGTTCATTTTGAAAAAAACGATACGTAACATTATTTCCCTTAAAATATACAATATTTGCCAAAACAAAAAACAATTTTCTGTAAAAAAATTGCTGATTTCGTTAAAAAAAAAAATATTGTTTAAGTATGTATCGTTTTTTTTGAAATGATTATTATTTTTGAAATTTTTATATAATTTCGGTTCATTTGGGTACCAGGTTGACATAATTTTTAAAAACTTTTTTTATGAAAATTATAGGAACCCATTAAATATTCGAGGGTCTTGAGGGACCCTTTAAATTATTTTTTATTGAAAAAAAAATTTAAACTTAGTGTTTTTGTATTAGATAGAACACATTTAGGGGGTGAGAGCAGATTATTTTTTAAAAAGTTGTTTTTTAGGACACCCTAATATATATATGCATGTATAATCTTAAACGTTGTATTTTTTTCAAAAAATTGCCTTTGTAAGTTAGTGTTTGGGTCTGTTTCTCACATGTTTTTGTTTTGACTTCATTTTACTTAGTAATGTTATTCTTGGCATGTATGTAGAGCTTAACATAAGTTTTATAGAATTATTGTTACACATGAGTTTATTTGTATACTTTTGCCAAATACTATTTTTGCATTTGTTTTGTATACATATGCAGTTACTACAGTTGCATACAGAATTACTGTCACCGTAGGAAAAGATGTTTGTCTGGGCTAGCTTTTAAAACCAGAAGTCATAAGCCAGTTGAATCTAATGTATAGGTGTTTAATCTATTATAGTAATTTAGAGAATGGCTGGTCTGGTTTGACATAAGTTCAAAAATGAACTTTTTATGATTGTTTCAAGTAATACTTGATTTTACCATACTTACACTAAAAGCATTTACAATCATCATTTGTTATTTATATTTGTTTTTGTGTTTAATTGTTTGTGTGTATATTTTTGTGTTTTTATGTGTATATTTGTATGTGTGTGTGTGTGTGTTTCTTAGTGTGTATATTTTATTATATATGTATAAGTGTATATTTTATTGTGTGTATGTGTATGCTGATATATGTGTGTATTAGATATTTCTTGATTCTTCGCACACAAATACATGCATGAGTGAAGAATCAAAACATATTTAATAGCTTAGAAAACAAATTAAATTAATTCTTAATAATCAAATTAAATTGATTAATTGCTTAAATACCAATTGATACACTTCTTCATGAACCTGTTAGTAGTGTATTCTGAGTTTTTGTTTTTGTTTTTTTTTGTTTTAAACCATATAACAAATGTAATTAATAAATACAAAACTGTGGATATTATATTTCTAGACCTGGTTGAAGCGTTTGATAAAGTACCACATGAGATTTCTGCAAAAACTTGAAGCCTATGGAATATTTAGTCTTGGATTAAAATTTCCTTTCAAAAAGAATGCAACAAGTCATTATACATGGTTGTAAATCAGAATGGAAGTTGGTTTTAAGTGGAATATCTTAGGATTGTGTATTAGGACCTCTTCTATTTATTATATTCATTAACAAAATGCAAAAACCTATAAAAAATCTATACTGATGACACTTAAATCAATAACATCATTAGAAGACTATAGTAGTTTGGAAAACACACTAGATAGCATCAATGAATGGTCAAAGCGGTGGTTAATGTATTTCAATTACAAAAAATGTGAAGTAATGCATTTACAAAATTGGTTTCATGTAATTTGCAATTATGATTACAATACCAAGCTGAAAATTGTTTAGTATGGTACAATAGGCTTTAATTTTGTCAATCAAGTTGCTATATCAAAATAATTAAAAAATAAAGATATTTTTTAAATATTTTGTCAGATATTTTTTATATCAAAAGTTATCAGCTGAAAATATTAGAAGACAGAAAAACCAGGACAGAGGATATTTTTAAAATAGACTACGTAACATTTTATTATCTTAATCAATAGACTGGTGTAACATTTTATAATCTTAATAAATAGGCTAGTGTAACATTTTATAATCTTAATCAAGCTCAATCGATCAATGTATCAGGACCAGCATACGGACTTTGTGGACATAATTAAAAAATGGACAAAGAATAAATCAAGAATTGAGAATTGCAAAGTAATTTCTTTACAAATAGATAAGCATGAAAATTGAGCAAACTCCATAACTAAATTGCTAAAAATGTTATCAATTTAAAAAGAATATGATGTAAAAACAATAAAAAGGCCAAAAAATAAAAATGCCATACTATGAATGAATAAACCAGTGCATTTTAAAGGAAGATTTCTTCAGTTGTCTTCCTATAAAAGAAATTAAAATTTGCACTTACTATTTTTTTTTTTTGTTTTTTTGTTAATTCACCTCCTCAAGGCCAAGATGGCCACTACAGACAAGGAGGTTACTTAATTGTGGTTATAACCCTCTCTCAACTCTATAACTCTGAAACACGAACCTTGACAAACAAGGCTGCTACGCGGAGAAACAAGTTGAGCGCGGTACTACCAGGGGCGTGGGGAGGATCAAACTCGAAACCTCTCACTTATGAAGCGAGCGCTCTACCACTACACTACTACCCCATTTTTTATCTTTGTATTATTTCTCTCTTCTCATAAGTGTTATTTTTTCCTTAGGTGTTTTTTAGGGTGTCATCAAAATTTTTAGGGTAATATCATCAATAAGTTCTATAAAAAGATAAGACATTTAGAATTAAAAAATAAAATTATTTTACTTTATAAAATAATACGTTGAAAAATTATGTTCTAGATCTTTTCATCAGTAACATTGTTGGAACTGCATGGAAATGCATTTGTCAATGTTGGAATGATGAGGTGTTTATATCTGTTTTGAAAGGAAGATTCTGGAAGTTGACAATGCAGGTTTAATATTTGTAGTTTTAATGTTTATTTATGATTTTTTTAAATTTTAAATGTTAATATTTGAATTTTTTTTTTTTTAGATTATATGTCGTTTAGGTTTATTTCTTCAGAATTTGATTACATCTGAGGTTTACATTGTTAGATTTTTATTTTCTAATCTAAATAACATTTAGTTTTTGGTTAAAGCTGTCAAAATTGTTTAAAAATTCAAAGTTTTCTATGAATAAATATTTTTCCTGATTTACCAAGTATAAATTTTTTATTCTGTGGGGTTCCCAGCAGTCCTGGAAATTCTCGGAAAGTCTTTTAATTTAAAAATAGTCCTTACAAATACTGAATTTTTTTTAGTTATTCTGAAGTTTAAAAATTTGTATATTTGTCAAAGTATCTTTGTTTGTTTTAATCTTCCAAATTTTTTTTCAAAATTTTTTTTTTATTTAAAAAAAAAATAGTTTCAGTTTCAGTAGAAATTCTAATTTAAGTGGTTCTCAAGAAAATTTTCCTATACACAATAGAGTATTATATTATTCCCATACACAATTGTGTATTATAGGTATACCATTGTCTTGTTTTTATCTTTATCTTTAGGATAACTAGGAGGTCATGTAGAAATTTCCGAATTACTTTTAACAAATTATTGATTTCCATCCCTTTTAAATTTGTATTATAAAAAAAGTATATATATATATATATATATATATATATATATATATATATATATATATATATATATATATATATATATATATATATATATATATATATATATATATATATATACATATATATATATATATATATATATATATATATATATATATATATATATATATATATATATATATATATATATATATATATATACTTTTTTTATAATACAAAGTATTATAAATTATGAGAGTTATGAAGTTTTAACTGTTTAGGTTTTTTCAGATAAAATAGTTAGAAAATGCCTAAAATACTCCTTATATAGACAGCATAAAAAAATGCTTTTTTTTTTTTAATAAAATGGCCTAATATTGTGTATTTTAAATATTCAATGAGCTCTTTAACTGGTTCTGGAAAATTATTTAGTAAATTGTTTCTAGGTAGTGATATTGCTAGGTTGTTTTAATATGCTTTCAACAAGACCAGTTATATTGCAGTGTTAAGACTTTTTCAAAATGAATTACTATCTACACTATTTAATGCACCATATTTCATTTCATTTCATGAATTTATAAAAAATTTTAAGAAGAGTCATATGGACCTTTTAGTTCAATTTTGGTATGTTTAAGTTAGTTTACAATTGTTAATGTTACAATTTAGTTAAAACTTGTTATATAAATCAGAGGTCATAGGGTCAGAGGTCATTCCATCTGGCAATAAATCAATGATTTTACAAACAAATGTAATTTTTTTTTTCTGGAACAGATGAAAGAGGATTAATTTGATCCTCTTAAAGATATTGGAGTCTGTGGTCATTGATGGCACTTTTAAAAGCAAGTGCAAATTTAAAAGGGATGTAAATCAATAATTTGTTAAAAGTAATTCGGAAATTTCTACATGACCTCCTAGTAAACAAGAAACCTATGAAAACATGACTAGGACTTGATTATCCAATTGATTGTTGGCATAGGTGGTGTAAAAATGAAAATTGTGCTAAAAAGGCTCAATCATTCCTTGATGGATACAAAAGTTTATTTCATTTCAAAAGTAAGGAAACTGATTCAAAAAATCAAGCCTGGCTGAGACAAAAAAAAACATGGTTCACAGCCTTGCTTTACTTGCCAAACTTAAAATTTTTAAAATGGTTTCTAAAAAATTAAATGTTTTTTTGAGATTCTTCTAAACAGACAAACCAATGATTTCATTTATGGCTATACTTGGTGATATAGTTGACGACTCTCTCAGACGCATCATACTAAAAGAAGTTTTAAATAAGTGTATCAATCTTTACCAGCGGCTTTAAAAAATTTATATGATAAAAACATTATAAAACCTACAAATGACATTGATATTATTTTTGCTGCTCGGCTAAAAATTGACCTAACTAATTTAAGTTACACTAAGAAATAACTCATATCAGAAATCATTTCAAGATTTTGATATTTATAGTTTTGATAAATTCTTCTCTGACTGGAAGAAAATTCTTCTCTAAAGTTTATCTTTTAATGCTTATTTTTTATGTTTGTAATGTTTTTGTGCTTTCACCTGGCAAAATAATAAGCTATTTATTAATTATTAATAAGCAACTTCTTGTAGAATATTAAAATAAGAAAAATCACTTATTACGTTACGTCTTTTTGAAGATCTTTCTTTAAAGAATTATACGATCAAAATCCCCCGGTACTCCTAAAATCCCCTGACATCTTTTTGAAGATCTTTTTTCAAAGAATCCCCTGATACTATCAAAATATTAAAGAGCAAGCAGTCAAAAAAAGAGTAATCACAAGGAAAAATTTTTTTTTGATAAATTTAAAACGAAAATTTTAGATGAGAAAAAAATAGTTAATGTAGAGTGCAGAACTTTGCATTAAGTGTAATGATGATTTTAATTGAAGAGTCTGATAAGCTAGTCATAAATGCAGAAAAGAATTCTTTTCAAAATTTCCAATCAAAATTTCCTTTTAAAGAATCTAATAACAAAAAAAAAACTCTGTCAAATTAAACAAAAGGAGATTAAGGAATCGCAATCAATTCATTGTTTAATTTTTAAAGCATAATTTTTTTCAAAATAAGTTTGTTATGAATTTTTAATTTAATTTAGTTAAATTTGTTTTTATTTTAATTACTGTAATTATTGCTATTAGAGGAGCTATATAGAACATTTTAAGTTCCCAGGTAGGGTAAAGTTTTGTAAATGACAAGTTTTCTGATCATCAATTTTTTAGTTCATGTTTATCTAATTAGGCAGCTTACATTTTGACATTTTTTGTTTTTTTGAACTGTTATTAAAAAAATTAATTTCTGCAAAGTCTTGGAATTTATAAGGTTTTTTTTTTGTAAGTTCTAAAATAGTTTTGGAAATGATGAAGCAAATGTCCTAGAAAATCTTGGAAAGTACTGGATTTTCAATTTTTTTTTAATCTAGTGGGAACCTTGTAACTATTGTAACAGGTACATAGTTTTTTTTTGTATATTGATGTATATTGTTGTTTTTTTATATACAAAAGAACAGCTCACTTGAAAATCTGTGTACTTTACTTGGTGACGTTAACTGCATCATTCTCAAGGTAAATTTTTTATTAATGTAAAGTTTACAGACAAATTTGGCAGCATATGACAAAAAATTAAAACTTAAAAAGACAAATAATTACTTTAAACAATTATTGTATTTTGCCATCAGAAGTAATACCTTGTACAAGGTGGCCAGCAGTCCTTGAAAACCAGGAAAAGTCCTGGAATTTGATACATCCAGGAAAAGTCCAGGAAAAACACCCCTTTTAACAATAATTCCTAAATAATGTCCTAGAAATTTTTTTCTGCTATTGTTCAATATTTCGTTATGATGCTTTTGTCTATTACCAATTGTTATTAATTTTGCATAGATTTGAATTTTATAATTGTGTATTTTATGTAATGCAAAAAAATTATTTTCAATGAAAAAAAAAATTTAGTTTAATGTTAGTATTGGCATTAACAACATAAGATGGCAAAGTAGGGATTGTCCATAAAGTACATATGCTTGGATGTAGGAGAGGGGGTCTGTAAATGGCATGTATGAGATGGGGAAGCAGGGGTCAATTATAAAGTAATGCAAAAAATTATTTTCAATGCAAAAAAAATTTGTTTAATGTTATTGTCAGTATTATCAACATCTACTAATTGCTTAGTTATTTTAAATTTTCATATTATTTTTTTTAATTTTTGTTTTTTTCTGGATCAATAAAAAGATCAATACATCTCTAAAATCCTGCAAATATCCTGGAATTTTAAAATAGCTATTATCTGATCACCCTGTTGTACTTTGCCATTAGAGGTGTTACTTTTTATTTTGCCATCAGATGTGTTACCTTGTAATTTGCCATCAGAATTGTTACCTTATAATTTACCATCAGAGGTGTAACTTTGCACTTTGCCATCAGAAGTGTTACCTTGTATCATTTTTTCTACAATTTTTCAAAATTAATATATGTTATAAAACACCTTTTTATATATGGTACATAATAACATGACACAGAATAAATAAGAAGATAAAGATATTATCACCTCTGTAATTAGGAAGATAGAGAGCCAAAAAATTTAACCATTCAATAAACAACTTTAATTTAAATGTTTAAAGCCAGTAGTACTTGTGTTTTTATTTTATTTTTTGTGTTCATACTATAGACATAAACATGTTTTTTATTATATTGCATTAAAATCTTTTTTTATATATATAAAAGATTAAGGAATATTTCACAGAAGTTATTTTAAAAAAAATACTTGAAGATGGACCTTTAGATGTTACTATTTATCAAGGTATGTTTTTTTTTAATAAAGCTTAAATAGATACAAAATTATTTTATCTTTTGAATCTTAAAAATATTGGCTTTGTATTTTACGAATTTTTTACTTTTTGTAATAATTTATATTTGTTTTTTTATTCTTTCTCTTGCAATCTTTGTTTTTAGATGCTATCAATGAGAGTTGTGAGATTTTATCTACACAGCTTACATCATTGAGCAATCAGCTTGTTTCTTTATTAACACATCAGATAAATTTGCAATTAGATAGTGTAAAGAATGTCCCAAGATTGTATAGGCGTACAAATAAAGAGGTTTTTTACAGTTTGATAATATTTATTTGATGCTAATATATGTTTCTTTATTACATTAGTGATGTCAAAATTTCTCAATTCTCAATTACATTAAATTTTACTTTACTTATTATATATTGTTCATCATTGTCATTGTCATCATCATCATCGCCATCACCACCATTTTAACTTTCACTCAACTTTTAAAGTACTAAAGATCTTGTGCATCTTAATTTTTGTTCCAACAGAAATAAAAAATAATAATTTTATTTAATCCCAAGTTGTTTCAAGTAATATTAATAAATAGAATAAATAATTCTACTCATCATTGATCTTGTTTTAAATAATGTGCAAAGCACTGGCGTATGATACCCTTCAAATCAAAATTCAAGAAAATATGTGCTAAAATTTTTTTTTTTTTTAAACATTTTATTTTTATAAATGCTAAAAAAAAATTTTTTTTATATTGTAATCGTAACACATTTCATATTTACAAACCTTTAGTTGCGTTAAAAAGTCTTAACTTTGTTTTTATTTTCAAAATTTACTCAGCCTCCAAGTGAACCATCAAAGTATGTGTTGAATGCAATAATACCATTGAACAAGTTTGCATCAAATGCAACTATGTTATCAGAAAACCAAAGACATGATATTTTGTCTTCTTCGCTTGGAAACCTATCAGAAAGGTAGTAATGCTTTAAATTTTAAGTAAAACCTTTTTTGAAATTATAAATTTGTGTGATTTTATTGTTAATATTTTTGAAAGAAAGTGTATCAATTTATGGGTTTATTATTACCACTAGTGGTTGCAATCCTAAAATCCTGGGATTGTCTAATATCAGTCCAGGATTCCTTGTAAAATTGAACAAAACAAAGCGTAATAAAAATATATAAATAACAACAATTTATGCATCTCAATAAAATAATTTAAAAATAGTATAAAATTGAATAAGCTCGTTGTGCTTTCTTGAGTCATACTTCAAAGCACATATAAAATAATATATTTCCTTATTTTTAATATAATTTCTTAACATTAGTTAACATATTTTTCTCTCATACATGTAACAATGTAATGTAAACTGCCTTTATTTAATAAATATATTTTTGGTTAAAAATATACTGTTTTTATTCTGTTTAATACTATGTAGATGTTGTACTGTTTTTTAATCCTGGGATCATCTTAGGATCTCTGAATTTATGTTTTTTAATCCCAGGATTGAGAATGACCTCTGGGATTGCAATTCCTAATTACCACATGTGTCTAATATCCAATTTAACAAAAAAAATATGCTTAGTTTAAAGTTCAAGAGTAAAATTTTAATTGATGATCAGTTAAATTAATTTAATTTAATAATTTGTTATTATTTTTACTTATTTTTAATTTTTATTATTTATTTTTTTTATTAACTTTTTAACTAGTTGCTTTAAAACAGATTTTTATAAAATGTAAGTATGTGTATTTTTTCTTATGGTTCCAAATTTCTGATTGAATGATTTTTAATAAAATGTTAGTACTACACCTTTAAAATTTTGCGAATTGTTTTTATCTAGAAATGCCTAAGAGCTTAGAAAATATCCTTAAATTTCGATTGTTACTTGTTACCATTTATTATTTCTCTATATTTTAAATTTTTCTTTGTTACTAAAAAATGATAGTACTTTAATGAGTAATTTAATATAAGCATTACTTATTTAATCCACTTTGGGTAAAAAAAAGGAATCCCTTGTTATAATTTAGGTTCACAACCTCAGAAGAGATGTTCTAGAACTCCTGAGGGGTTAAAGAGAACTCCTGAGGGTTTTGTGAAAGATCTGGAAAACATAGTTTTCCAGATCTTTCACAAAAACCAGAACCATTTGATATTATAAATAAAAATGATACGAGACAAGTTTCTGAAATATGCAGAGTTTTTAAAAATCAAAGGTTTCTAGTTTATGCTAGAAACCTTTGATTTGCAATGGTCATGTATCCAGCACATAAATTTCAAATCAATTTAATATGCTATATATTTGATAATTTAAAAGTCATGTAGCATAGAGCATACAGACAATTTGTTGCCATCGTTGTTATCATAGCAATAAAAATAAACTTTTTGAGTTAAAAGTAATAGTACACATATTGCTTGGGCATTTCAGGGTTTATTTGAAAAAGTCAAGCTGATTACCTCACAATCAAAAGTGTGCTGAGTTTAAAGTCATGCAGCTCTTTTCCTCTAATAAATTTTTTTCAGCTTTTCTCTGATTATTTTGTAACAAACTGCTTTTAGCAGCATCAGAATCAGACAATTTATTGAGTCTTATTTTTTGCTTTGTTTGGTCACAAAATAAGAAAGCATCTTATTTAGGATGTCCAAATTACAAGGTACATCTAATTATTAAAAACAATATATATATATATATATATATATATATATATATATATATATATATATATATATATGTATATATATATATATATATATATATATATATATATATATATATATATATATATATATATATATATATACATAATTTGTTTTTGCTTTTTTTTGCTTTTAATTATTAAGTGTATCTTGTAATTTAGATATCCTAAATAAGATGCTTTCTTATTTTGTGACCAAACAAAGTTATTTTGTGTAAAACAAAAAAGTATATATAATGTAAAAATATTAATGTAAATTATAGTAATATATATATATATATATATATATATATATATATATATATATATATATATATATATATATATATATATATATATATGTATGTATATATATATATATATATATATATATATATATATATATATATATATATATATATATAGCATTATTAATATATATAACATTATTATTCTTAGATTCTCAAACAAACTCTCTTTTCCTCCTTTGATCTTTTTTTAGGTTTTTCTGTGACTGTAGAGTTGTTTAGATCCGCCATTTTTTTAAGAATATAAGTTTGCCACGTGACTTAATATTTATTTTACCATTAAATAACTGGGACAACTGCGTTTTTACTAAACATTTGACAATAATAGTTGTTTCAATGTTGACCTTATAACATAGTTTTTTTGTTATGAATTTTCAAGTTAAAATAGCTCAGTACCACTATATCATAAAAATATCTTAAACTTGAAATTTTCAAAAAGTGGACTTCTGTGGTTTCACCCTTGTGGTCTTCATATATATTTCAAATTCCATATTTAAAAAAAGTTCAATTAAAATAATTTTTAAAATTGTTTTAATTTCCAAATTTAAAAAAAAAAAATTTTATTTGAAATTCTGTATAACTTATTAGTTACACATAATTTATAAATAATTATTAAAACTATGTATATCTTCATCAGTTTAAATCTTAAAAAATATAATTAAATATGTAAAAATATATTATTTATTTAAATGTGATTCATAAACCATCTAAAATAAGAATGAAATATTGTTAAAAACTTGGAAATATTTTTTTATGGACTTGTCAAGTACACATCAACAAAAATAATGCCGACATTACAATATATTTAAATGAAGTAAAACTGGATTATGATATGCTGAGCTAATTAATACCTATTCTTATATTCAGACTGAGTTCCAAAAGCAAAGAAATTGTCAAATTAAATAAATTATAAATTAACTATTATGCCAAACAAATTATGCCAAATTATTGCTCAATTGTGTTTAGTCTAGTAAAAGTGTCTGATTTGTGTGTATTAGGTTTGTGTGTGTTTGGTTTGTGTGTATTAGGTTTGTGTGTTGGGTTTTAAATATATATTTTTTTGTTTAGTGTGGTAAATGCTAATTTATTATGCCAAATTATTGCTCAATTATGTTTAGTCTAGTAAAAGTGTCTGATTTGTGTGTATTAGGTTTGTGTGTGTTCGGTTTGTGTGTGTTAGGTTTTAAATATATATTTTTTTGTTTAGTGTGGTAAATGCTAATATATTAAATTATTTAGGTATTACACATTAGTCGACGAGTTGTTGACAGCTATTCGAAAAACCGAAGATAGTTTATTAAGATTGAAGCAGCAAAGAAAGGCTGCTAGTGGACAATCCGAAGTCAATCAGTTAGTAAATACTAGTGAAGTATCTGATGAGAATAAGATTAGAAAACAATTGTTATTGGATAGCGAAGCATTCGGCCATCATGTAAAAAAAATTTTCTATTTATTTTTAGTTTGTTGGTTTGTTATTGTCTTTATAGATTTATAAAATATTTTTATAGATTGTACATAATTAAATTTTTGCTTTGTTTTTATAAATTTATAAAATGTTTTATATTATTATATTTATAGTATTAGTTGTTGTTTTCATAGATGAGCACCCTTGGCTTTACTGGTGAATCTTTTCCTGCTTATCTAAAGTTGATGAATGTGGTTCGCTCCGCACTAACTCCTGAATAAAAATTAGTTATTAAATTATTTTCATAATTTTCACAGGTATATATATATATATATATATATATATATATATATATATATATATATATATATATATATATATTGTGGTTGTAACCGACTCTTGATTGTTAAAAGGGTTTTAATATCTGTGAAAAAAGTTTTTCCAATCGGGTTTTTAGGTCCCGAACGAAATTAATAAGGACTTCAAAAGTAATAATCTGTAATATAAATACTTTAAATTCTAATAAAGGAAAATTTTTGTTTGAAAATTTCAAAATAGTTTATTTTTGTCATTAATTTGAAAATAGCGTTTTTTCAAAATGTTTTTAATAAAAATAATTGGTAATTTAAAATCCTCTTGTAGTTACGCTTCTTTCGAGGTTAGGTTTACCTAATTAGTTTTAGTAAAAATTTTAATGGCTTTTAATTTCCGTTTTTGTGCTAGTCTACAGTAGCAGTCGGAAAACAGCGGTTCTTAACTAATAAGATCTAGTTCACCTAAAATACTTTTGAATTTATGTATATAATACTTTTGAAATTATGTATTTTCTTTAATAAAAAATAGTGTCTTGTGATTTTTTTTATTTGTTTTACTCTCTGGTTAAAAGCTTTAGTCATGTAGTATGCAGTAATAATATTGTGTGCCTTTACTATTTTGTAAAGATTAATTAAGACAAATCATCTGACAACGAAGAGAATTTATTTTACTATTTAATTTAAAAGATAAATAATAAAAAGTTGACTGTTTCATTTTGTTTGTAAATATGAGTGAAACACTTTACACAGGTGGTTGTCATTGTGGGGCTGTGGCGTTTGAAGTTCTGGCGTCTTCTCCGTTGTTGTGTATAAGATGTAACTGTAGCATATGCGAGAAAAAGCAAAATATTCATTTTATTGTATCAAGAAACAAATTTAAATTGCACAGTGGTCACGATTCTTTGACAACATACACGTTTAATACTCATCAAGCAAAGCACATGTTTTGTAAAATATGCGGAGTACAAAGTTTTTATGTTCCACGCTCTAATCCAAATGGTATTGGAGTTATGCCTCATTGCTTAGATCAGCAACATACAGTTGAAATTCAAATGCAAAATTTTAATGGCAAAGATTGGGAGTTTGAAATGAGAACAAGCATTGGTGATCAACTTCGAGAGATATCAGAATTAAATTAAGCATAATTATATTTTAAATCATGTTTGCAATTTCTTGTAAATATATGTTTTTAGTTTATAGTTTTTTGTTTTTATTATTAAACTCAATTTACTAGCATTCTGAATGACGTTTAACTTACTAACATTCACAAGAACTTGCCGAAATAGTAACTTTACACAAATTGTTGAGTCTAGTAGTCAATCAAGTGAGACAAAAATAACTTGGTGCTTTCATTGTAATTAAAAAAAAAAAAATTCGGTTTAAAAAGAAATTAAAAATAATTAAAAATAACTGACGAAAAACCTCATCAAGTAAGCTACTAACGGCACTGTTGCTAATAGCAACTGTTTTTCAAAGAAATTATTGATTGGTAAATAAAAATAAAGGTTCAAAATTTAAAATAAACAATATAAACCATTAAATCTAAATCAGAAATTTATTTCTTACAATCTTACATTGTGGTATGCGACACAACTGGCATTTGTCATGTCAAACAGTTTTATTTCAAGCTTCGTCTATACATTTTTTATTGGTTTTAAGATGTGGTTGATATAGCAGATTAATTGCCCTAATGTTACTTCAAATAACTTGTAGCCAATACAGTGCATGATTGGCAGTAAGGAGGATTGTCTTGTTATTGAATTCATTCTTATATTATTATTATTTTCCCTTAAACACCCAGTAATAAAATTACAGGTAAAGTAATTTATATTAAAACCGTTACAAATTAAATAAAGGCCAGTTTGCAGTTCTTCTTGAGGTAGTGTGATTTTAATTTTTTTACCTTCTATCGTGCATTGAAAGATGTTCAGACCACGAGTTTTACATGTAGCAATCACTTCGTTTATAAATGATTTTTTGTTTTGTGTTGCCAGTAATTGATTAATTATCAGCGAATAGCAAGTTTGATTTTTCATTAGTCTAATTAATAGGTTTATTTTATTTCGAAGAAGAGTAGTTGAAATCTTCTATTTTAAAAAAAGAATGTAGGTAATTTTTGCTATACTTTGAATACAAAAAAATGATTTTAAAACTGCTCTTCCAACAGCGTCTATGTTTCTTAGAAAACTAATGTCATAGTTGCATAGCTCAAGGCCATATATAAGCTTTGGCACTGTCAAGGTATTGCATAAATGAACATTATTACAATTGATATTGCAAGATATTGCAACCGATTGAAATTGCGTTATACGTTCATTTAGATTTGTTTTTTGAAGTGTTGCGATTTTGTTTTTGTTGGTACTGTTATCCCATTGGAAACCCAGATGTTTTAATTTATTTTGGAGATGTATATAAATTCCGTTATTTGAATAATGTTGTTGGAAATTGAACTTTTACCGGAGATCAGAAATTCCGTTTTCTTAGTGTTTAGCTTAATAAAGTTCAATATTCCATATGTTTAAAATCTGTCAATCAGTTCTTGCAGACCAGAGATTCTTGGGCTTAGCAAAATTACATCATCTGCGTATGCAATGATACCAGTATAGATGCCATTTATCCTCGATCCTACTTTACATTCTGAGACTATTTCATTTAAGATGTTTTCAGTATAGATGCTATACAAATATGGCGATAAAATATACCCTTGTTGCACTCCTTGTGACAAATTGAATTTGTCTGAGGTAACTCAGGGAGAGGGTGTCTGAGGTAACTCAGGGAGAGGGCATTTGTCTGAGAATATATTTGCAGTACCAGAACGATATAGCGATGTGATTGCATGTACAACAGATAAAAGAAGTTTTTTTTGGAAATAGAGCTTCTCAAATAGCAAATCCTAGTTACAAGTATCAAACGCATTATTTGCATCTAGACTATACATATATAAAGGCGTGTTATTGTTATTATAGTGTTTAATGGTTTCGCTCAAAAAAAATTCTGCATAGAGCGTAAAGCCATTTTTTTAAAACCAAACTGATGGGAATAGCTATCTTTAAACTTTTTGAACTCTTTAACGATATTTTTCATGTTTTGTGAATTATTAATCGTAAATAACCAAATTTTTGCTTTGGTTTTGATTTTACTAATATTATGCCAAAACTTTTGAGGCTTTTTAGTTTGTAGATTTTCAATATTTATAGTTTTTTCATGGATTTTTTTGTTATGGGTTGCTTTAACCGCTTTTCGTAACTGCTAATAAAGCAGCATTTTTGATCATTTTGCATGTTTGCATCAACTCTTGTTCCATGGTGTAGTTATCAAAAGCTATAGAAAGATTATGATTATATATGTCGATAAAGTTTTTGTTCTCCCATGCATAATTTGGAATATGGATATATTCTGAAATTACACTATTTATTACGGTTGACAGATTTATATGTGTAACGACAATATTTGTAGCTATTGGTAAGTGATCACTAAATTTAAAAGGCGAAGGAGAAATAACTTTGGTATTTAAAAAAGAAAAGGATGACTCTTTTAGAGCTGCGATGTGATCTATATACGATGAATTAAAGAGAGTTTTATGCTGATAGGTGTATGTTGGACCAGCGCCACTGATTATATCGATAAACGAAAGCTTATTTGATTGAATGAAACTAGTTAGATGCTTTGAGAACTTATTGCGTGTTTCATTATAACGATTCTCAGAGTCGTATATTGTTTCGGGATATGATTGAAAATCTCTTTCAATAATGCATACATTTACGTCTTCGTAGTTTTTTATGACTGACGTAATTAGGTTTAATTGTTGGGTGTACTTTGAAAGGGATTCCTCGTTGTTTCGGCATGATGTAAGATAAATACCGATAAAAACTAGATTTTGACACTTATTTTTATCTTTAATAGCCAGAATTTTATCATCTTTATAAATTATGTGAGGAGAAAAGAGTACATCTTTTTTAACGATGAATGCGTTTCCTCCAAAAGATCTTCCATATGCTTTTTTTTTCCGCCGCATAAAAAAATAAGATATGTGTCGGTAATGCTATGTTTTTTAGAAAAAATAGATCAATATTCAAAAGCCAATGCTCCGATAGAAAGATTATATCAAATGATTTAACTAGTTCAAAAATATATAATGAGTTCAATTTAAAACTTTTGGCAGTTGTATGCACAAAAAGAAATATCTTCGAAGGTTTTACTTTGTTTCCTTCCATTTTAAATTAAAGTTTGGTATTCGAGTTGAGCAGGGGCGGGTTTTTTAAAGAGGTTAGTCAAAAAAGTTGGTTGCGGATTTCACCGCCACCCTTCCAACGGAAGGAATAGGAGGGGTGGATGAAAGTGAAATACTAACGGAGTATAAAAAAGGCATCTACCCAATTTCTTTAACAAATAAGTTATTTACAAAGCCTTCAAAATAAGCGGCTCAAATGATGTCGCATATTTTAAAAATAGAGACAACAAACTAAGTAAAAACACACTATATAATAGCTACTATATTACCAAATTACAAATTTAATACACAGTATGATTAATTTATAAAAAAATTTTATTAAAACATTTTTTTCTAGGTATGTAGTTTCTTATTTAAAAAAAACTAAATACCTAGAATATATATATATATATATATTATATATATATATATATATATATATATATATATATATATATATTTAAACTATTATATAAATACATATATATATGTATTTATATAATATATATATGTATTTATATAATACATATATAATTTAAATACATATATATATGTATTTAAACTAGCAAGGATCCATTAAATGTACAAAAATAAAATATTGACTGTTGTATAAAATTATTATTGCGTTCCATAAATAATATATCTGTATGGAGTATAACAAATCATTATTTAAATAGGAAAGGTTTGTATAGTCAGGTGTCATGCAAATAGAATAACAACTTTGTAATAGAAAACAACTGCAATAACATTAAGACCATGATTATAAAAAAAATATAATCCAGTTTATTAGTATGACTATCATACTATGAGAAGTGCAATAACACAATAGCAACAATATGATGACTAACCATAAAAACCCATTTTGTTATTTTATTCCATTGATAGATATGTTATATAATGTAAAACAATTATAATATTAATGTTAGTAAACAAAGTATGCTTACAGTTAATGTGTTACATATGTTTATTTTCTCTGAACTGTTGACTAATGATCAGTAAAGTAAACTTCAAATAATGAAAGCTTACTAAATTAAAACCATATTTCAACTCAAATAACTATAAAGGTAGAATCTCAAAGTAGAGCTGAAAAAAAGGAGAAAAAGTATATAATAGATCATGTATATAATGCTCCTAATTAAAATATCAAAGATATAGTACATAACGGTACCAGTTTCGATTGTGGTAGACCACTAATTAAATCAAATCCTTCAAAAATTACATTTTAGATATTATTTACATCTAAATTGACTAAAATTTACTTTTGAATGATAAAATTAAAAAAAAAAAGTCAAAAATTTTTTTGATTTCAGAAATTTGGCCCATAATATCATCATTTTGTTGCAGTGATTATTTCAAAAACTATTGAAGCTATTAACTTGAAATTTTCTAAATTTACTTTTAATACAATAAAGAAGATCCTGTACCAAAATCAAGAAAATTTACTGAACATATTTTTTTTTATAAGAAAAACACTTGACGATCAAAAAACAAGGCATTTTTGACCATATTTGGGCTTTAATATCTTTGAATTGGATTATCATATTGTCATAAATGTGGTAGGGGACATCCATAACAATAAAAGAAACAACTTCTGAAAATTTCATGGAAATTGATTAAGAAAATCCTGAGATAATCACCGCAAAGTTGTGAGTTTTAGAGATCTGAGAAAAACACATTTAAACAAAAAAAAAACATAAAATTTTTCAAACAAATATTAAAAAGCCACGTAAAAAGCGTATTTACAAATATCAACTTACATTAAAAGTGTTGTGGAGTAAAAGTAGAAAAAATTATTAAAAAATTGTTTTAAAAGACAGGTTTTATTAACAGACATTAATACTTTCAAAGTTAGATTTCATTAAAAAAAAAGTCTCACTTTTGATTTGTAATTTAGTTTCAAATAAAAACTCCTATCTGTTTTATGTTATAATAGTAAATAAATAATCAATAGTTATAATAGTAAATAAATATTCAATAGTTATAATAGTA